TACCATGATTAATATCTGCTCACGCCTACAGGCTGATATTGAATATGTTAGTAAGTATTAGTTTGTATACTTCACATAAATGGCGTTTTATTTTTTTTTATTCCAAATTCAAATTTGAAATTGTCAATAGGAATTACGTATAATGTTCAATGAATTGAAAACAATTTAGTTCTTTTATTGAAACTATTCGTTGTATTAACAGTAAAGGTTAAAACCCCACTTGTGGGCATGCAACAGCACTGCAACAGATGTCTTTTATATAGGGTACTGTACAGCACGCTTCATTATCGAGCGTGCTGATGATATGCCATATACAAAATTGCTTTATTAGTATGGACGAGGACCTCATGTAAGTGGGATTCTACCCTAATATTCAACTTTGATTTTAATACTTTGTATGGACTTTTAAAGCACACTTTTGAGTTCTTATTGTCCCTTAAACCACAAGAATATACGCTAAATTACACACATAAAATTAAGAATTGACGAAAACTAGCCGATCCCTCTAGCAAAGCAACAACTCTTAAAGATCAATTCCGTTACCACCTACACCTAACCGTACTATAAAAAAAAAATTATTGAAACACAAAATAAATAAAAACTAGTACACTTATACGCTAGTAGTTCATAACTTCATTTTATATACTTTTTTGTTATTTGCACGAAACGTGATATATTAAAATAGTGTCAACTAGTATTAACGTAGAAACATCACATTTAAAGTTTTTCTTTTTGTTTTGGTGCGAGCGATTCTTTTTATCAGTCAGGTTTTATTTTCGAATGTGGTCTAATGACTAGAATCTGCCTACTTCCGAAGCCGTTACAAACACTTTATTTCTTAAGTTAACAGAATATAAATTGTAGAGTCTACAAAGTAAATAAGTAGATCTCCATTTAGCAATTTTTTTTATCAAAGTTTGGACTAGGCATTATAGAAGTGAATCGATCGCACCAAACAAAAAAAAATTTGGCAAGTGTTATTAGTAAACTAGCCAATATTAAGACATAAATATTGTACAAAATCAATAAATGGTGTTTAATGAAAATGAAAACAGGAGTACCTTATTAGTAAGTAACTAATCACATCAATAAAATTGACACGAAATTATTATTTCATTATCGGTTGCCTGACACAACCGAAAAAGCTATAAAAGGCACAGATAATAAGTTTAAGACTGAACTACACCTATCAGCACGCATCAACACACACGGTGCTGAAGCATACTATCGAGTAGGTACATCCCTTCAGTCCTATAAGCACATTTAAAGAGTATTTTTTTAACCTGTGTTGAATGACTTTCGCTTTTACGGGCCATTTGAAAATTATAGATTAATTTGATTCGTGTCAAACTGCCTATAAAAATTAATGTCATAGACATTTATGATGATATTGGCATTGTTCATTTAACTAGTACTGAATATTATTATTATTTTTTATAATACCAAGTGGCGTGACGAACAAATCGGACGCCTGGTGGTATGCGACACGCCTATCCATAACAGTTGCAGTGCCATTCAGAACTTTAAATCGCAATGGGCACTGACTCTGCGCCCGTCACCTTGAGATATAAGTTAACAAGTCCCATGTGTCTGTTAATATATTAAGTTTTGGTGCATTTATTTTCTTAGCCATTTACTAAAACCGCTTTTCTACTCCTATGTGATATTACTTTTCACGGGCGTAACAGGCTAGTACCAGTTGTACCATTAATAGTGGTAGCGGTTCAAAAGGAAATCATCGGTAAGTGCAATCAACAATAGGACCAACCTGCAAAAAGTGAATTATTGCTCCATTGCACTCTTAATTACATTTCCTAAACACCAATTACTGATTAAGACAAACGTACCTACATCGATATTACCAGAGTAACAGTCAAAGTTTCCAAACGCTTGGAAAGACTATAGAAATTCATTTACGACTGAGACGTAAACCTGGTAAGTAAATCTACCGCCATACGGACAATAATACTTTTTTATTATTAAACATTTTCAGCCAAGCACGATTATAAAAACGCAGGTTCGGATACTGCCATACGAACTAACCTACACACATCTATATTTTAGATAAACGTTTCTTTTTAACTATTATAATAATTGTGGTCTCTATTATACCTGTCTTAAGTCTTTTATTACGAATACACTTTTTATGACTTTTTGTTTGTTCGAAATTATTTGTAAACAAGTCTAAGGGTGATCGTGCATCATCAGTCAGTACAATATTTGCTGATTTTTATGACATCAATTCAGGTTTTTGTTTGCTTTTTGTATATACAACAAACTCGTGAATACCGTCGCTTGATTAGCAATTTTGCGAAGGTGCAACATGATGATGCTATCCCTAGACTTATACGAACTTATACATATTGACCTTTAAAGTTATTTTCGTGTGATGTAAATGTCGTACAATCACAATTGTGTATCAAAACGCTTTAATGCATAATTCAAAATATGTACTTCAGTAAATTTGAAAGTTCATAAATGCATGTTTTTTTAAAAAGTGCATCGCGTAATTTGTTTAAATTAAATATTCTTGATATGATGTAAAGAGATTGCATCGACCTCTTTCTCACAACAATACTGTCAAAACCTAAGTGAAAAAGATTTCCTGTGCTTCGTGGTTAAAATTTTACTTTTTGGTTAGGAATGTATTTCCGATTGTAATAGTTTGTCGACAACCTTTCAAGTTTTAAAGTAATTACTGTTATTATTTTCTAAACCTATCACACATGCAATGCAGTAAGCTGACGATGTTCATATAGATGGCCGGTTCATTATCGACGCAGTGTAAATGCCATATCGCCTACACTCATATGTCACATGTGATGTGACCTTCACAATCCTCAAACAGGCAAATTTATAAGTTTAGGTTGTCGACGTCTTTAATACGATTTTTGTATAAAATGCAGAGGCTGAATTCCATAAATAGGTTCATTAAAGACGCACCAGCTTGTGTACAGAATATTCGATTTTGTATACGAATATTTTGTGTTTTCTCGCAACAATTCTTTGAAGGCAGAAGAGTACACGGTTATTTACAAAAAAAATACTTTTTGATAAAAGTCTACATTTTGTGCTTTTCAATGTCTGTTATTCAAACTCAATTTAGTTAGCTTTATCCACCTTTTTTCAGATAGCTGTTTTAACTTTGCTGCCGTCAATTCAAAATTGATGGTTTTCATTGAGATCACTTTCTATACACAAGTAGCTTGTTTTGAACTATAATATAAATGCCGTAGAAAAGTTTACGCTTACATGCGAGAAAAATCCGAGTTAATACATTATTTATATGTTAGAAAATTTATTATAAGAAAAATACGCACTAATGTATAACCAACATTAGACTTTTAGAATTTTGGACTTATTTACAGAAACAATCCCGTGACATAACACCATAAAGCTCTTTAGAATAAAGTTCCTTTTTGTAAATTTTCTAACATTGTTAATAAATACGTTTATAATAAAGTCGTAACGTCATATCGAAGATTGAAAATACTTTGTTTTTGGATCGTAATAAAGATTTCACTGGATAACAACTTTAAATGTATAACAAAAGTAGATCTTTAAGTTAATAAAGGTTTGATATATTGGCGTCAATTAATCAATGAGCGTTTTTCACAATAAAGGCTTAAAACTAACCAATAAAAGACAACCAAATCACTACAATATTGGTTACTTTCTTGATATCTTTCTTTGACTTATGAAATGTAAAAGTAACGGATTTTCCCCTATGGCTAAATAACACGTAATTACCGAAATTTACTTCTAGAAGCCTTAATAAGCAAAAAAAAAAACCAACAAGAAAATTCTACAAAAAGCTAAAATTTGTAGTATGTTAGCGTCAAACCCCATATCGTTAGTACGCATCAGCATGCTTGATGCGAATACGTGCTGACTAGTGAAGTCCCACCCCTATGCAACTTTAAAAATATTTAAAAAATTAATGAATCTTTTTATATATTTTTTTTTCATTCTATAAGTAGTAGTTTGTACAAACATTGTTCCTTAGATAATTGTTCTGGTCATAAATCGTGGTTATTGGTGGCTTTTTTAACCAACCTCGATTTTAACACACTAGTTTTATCTCCTATCACTATTGTCTGATACTAAAGTCTATGTGTAATGTAGTCATATTTATTAAGATTTTATTATTAATAAAACAGATTGTTAACAACCAATATTTGTTTACGATCCAAAAACTAAAGTTTACCATACGTCTTAACAGGTATTTTGAAACAATCAGAACTTGTATAAAAGTTTAAGGACAATACGTAAATTATGTCACGTTAAAACTTTTTTTTTTATTTTACTCACAATTACCAATGTTACTTGATAATAACATTATAATACTCTTGCACATTGACGTCAATACTGGTTAACGCAAAATAAAATTAATTTTAAAGTTATCAGAAAGAACATGGCAGGAGATTTATACTTTCGCCAAATTCGATGTAGAATAAATGCCGACAAACAAAAACATATGATTTATAGAGTTTTCACCTCAGACGGTTTTGACAGTTACGACAATTACTGATGAGGCTATTGATAATACTAATCTTGAAGCCATGTCTGTTATGAATACTATTCAACAGAAATAATCAGTAATTAATTATTTATAAAACTGTGTCATTTGCAAAGAGATTGCAAACATTCATGCACTTTTGAACTTTTTTTTATATAGTATCAAGTGACGGGACGAACAAGTCGTGTGCCTGATGGGAAGCTACACGCCTGTCCATAACAGTTGCAGTGCCACTCAGAGCTTTAAATCGCAAAGATCTGGGGGGCACTGCCACAGCGCCCGTCACCCTGAGACATAAGTTGACAAGTCCCATGTGCCTGTAATTTCACCAGCACCCTTTAACTTACCCTTCAAATGCTAACATTCCTGCTTGGCGGCACAAATAGGCAAGTTATTTAAAACCAACATAAAAAATATCAGTTATTAATTATTAATAAAACTGTGTCAGCGCTAATGATTTTTAAATTTGAAGTTTATGTAGTTTTGTAATAATTTATAAATAAAAAACACCGCTACAAAGCCGTGGGCAGAGCTAGTCTAAATAATGAACATTGACAAAAGTGTTCTTCACACAAGCCATCATTGGTTGTCTAGCAACGTTTTGTTACAAAACGTTCTATATCGAATTTGTTGTAAAGCTGTCACTATTTTGAAGAATCTGTATGTACTTTTATTTTAATAGTGATAACAAAAATAGGCAAATGCATTGAGTTTTAAGTTTATTTTGCGTTTGGCCGAATTGACGTCTTTGGGCCTTTATATATATTTCCCTGTGACGTAATTTATGTAAAAGCTAACAGTCAGGCACCACTATTGTTCACAATAGAAAGAATTACTTCTTCGACATGGCGATGGTTAAGCTGACTAGCTAGCTTTAATGTGACTTATAAAAAGTTATATCTTAGTTAATAGGTCCCGTGGCTAAGTAATACGGGTGGCGATTATGTGTAAACCGATTGTCGTACCTCTGGTTCTTCTGGTAGAAGTCGTTCCGTTGCAACTTACGGTAGTTTTGCTGCCGACGTTGCTGGTTCTGGTTCTTGTCCGGTTGTTTTTCGGACTGCTTGGTTGTCAGTTTCTCTGTCTTCGTGTCTTTCGCTTCGGTTGATGGCTTTTCCTGTTGTTGTTTGAGATTTAAGATTATTGTTATATACATTTTAAAGCGGTGGTAGCCCAGTGGAAGAAGTTGCTTCTCAATTGAAAGGGGAACTGGGGGCCTAAAACAATCTTTCCTTAAATTCCCTGATTTTCCTTAAATTTCCTAATCTTTCCAAAAACAATCGTATTTCAATGTAAGCTTAAAGTAAGCTTATTAAAATGTTACTCGTATTCGTACCATGACAAACCTGTCAACCAAGCAATGTATTATTGCAAAAGTAATTGAAAGAACGAATAATTTCTCAATATTGTCTATTCCTTACTAAAATAAGGAAAGAAATTACGCTATATGAATATATGTAATTTCCAATGTCAATCTCTTTTGCATTTGCTCTTTTGAATGCCATCTCTTTTTTTCGATGTTTCGAATCGTCTTATAGTAGTATAATGTTTAAATATTTAATGTTATTTACATTCAGAGAATTTTAACTGTTAAAAAAAGAAAAGTATGTAATAATAAAATCTATCAAAACTACGTTGTTTTCAATTATTTTTCCGCATTTTCATGTAGAAAAATAAATAAAACAAGCTGAGTCTTGATAGTTACGTTGTGAATTCGGAATTATAGTCTAGTGTCAACTGTTAGTGTCGCCAAGAAGCATATAGATGTCGCTGTTATAATTTTACGAAATAAACATAGCGTATTTTTATTTAACGAGAAATTATTTCCAATGTATTATTAAATAAAAAAATAAACAAAATATTGAAGAGATTTATGTGAATAAATAATTTCAACATAACTTTTAATCACTACAAGTCAATACTTAGATAATAAATTCGAAAATAATATTGTTTCTACTGCGCCCGAGTAACTATTTTAAGATTGCTAAATTTGACGTAAAAACAATATTACTTTAATATTAAAGTCGTGTCATAGTACGAACTGAGTGAATGAATAGTCACAAATCTGCCAATAAAACATCTTAGTTTTACATTGTAACAAACTTACTTTAAGCGCGTCATGGTACGAAAAGTCAATGTAAGGTTAAAATAATATTGTTTTAATAGATTGTGGTAGGCCCCCAGTTCGAATCTATGTGGCGGCACGTAATTATTTTGTAAATTTTACGTATCAATTTTTTTTACAAAAAATTTAAGTATACAATACCTTTGGCTAACGGTAAAATAAAACATCGTGTAGTAACCTTTATGTAGAAGACGAATCTCAGCCCTTGGAAAACGTGGGACGCCTCCAACTCATAAATTTATTCCTACTTTCACTATTACAACAAAAATTAAACGTCACCTATATCAATAGCGTTTATTAACTGCACAACTGCAGTAATGCAAAGCCTTGCGCTTTCACAATAGGCCTGCATCCTACTGGTGAGAGATGAGAGAGGAATACCGCTATCCCGCTTCCACAAATTTACGGCTGAGTCTGTACCGAGAAAATAATCTTACTATAGCAGCTAACATAGTAAGATTATTTTCTCGCTGCAGACCTTTAACAGTGAGAAACAAGTTTACCTCTTTATTGTCGATGGACTGTTTGTTGTTCGTCGCGTTGTTGCTCTCCTGAGCGGCTGTCTTCGGCGGGTTTACTTGTGTCGACGACGAACTTTCGCTCTGTAATAGAATATTATATAGCCATTATATTGCCAATGTAGAGGGAACGGTTACTTGAAATAATCGTTCTCCTTTTCCAATCGGTCCATATGTTACAATATTTTTTACTGGGATGAACGGAGCTTGAATCTCGTTTACGGGGTGGAAGAAATAACCAGAATTGCATTGTAAATTTGCTGATAGTTTTTAGGGTTGGATCCTACTTATCAACAATATGCATATCAAGGGACTGATAAAATATAATAATATCTCATAAAAACGCGTATGATACGTAAGCAGTGCCGATGCGTGCTGACATGTGACAAACAGGTAATACAGATATGGTGTTGGTGACGAACTCCTTCATAAGGACCTCTATTGTTACTAATACCTGTTTCAGTCCCGGATTTAAGTTATGCCACTTTTTGTTTCTTAGTGGTTATTTTCATCTCTCGATGAATCATATATCTGAAGAGGATCTTTTCTAATCACGATCACTTTTCTATCTTATTTAGTTATTCTTAATACAGGTGCGATATTTTTTTTAAAATATTGTACACCCCTCATGGAGAATGGCATAAGATGAATTACGTCAAATATGTTTATTGCTCCATTAGGCACAGAAAAAAATAATCCTCCAATTGGAAAGGATGTGGATTTTTTTTTTCTGTATCTAATGGAGCAATAAACATATTTGACGTAATTCCGCTTATGTCATTCTTCCATGAGCACAAAGTGGTGTACTTGGTACTTGGTGTAACGGGCTGGTGTCCGCAACTCGACGACAAGGCGCCTATTTTGCGTGACAAAGTGGTGTAACCCACATTTCCTTTTCTACAATATTACTTCATTATTATAAAAAAAAAAAATTAATACTTTATATGCATCAAAATGGCATCTGAATATAAAATAATTATGTATAGCAGATGAAGCTATACAATTTTGTTCGAATATAGCCTCAATGCAACAGAACAAGATCCGTCAATGTGTAGGTTAATATGCTGCAGTCTTTAATTTAGAATAATTTCAATTTAAAAAAAATTAATGTGGGTTATATCATGCGCCGATAGCCTTATTCGACCTCGGTGGCCCAAGGGTTCACAACATAGACGCTGGACGAAGAGGTCCCGATTCGATTTCCGGTAGAAGCAATTCGGGCGACGAGCTTTCCAAATCGGGTCTGGTGCGGCTGCTGGACTCACGGCCTTGGCGACGGCCTGGTGGTGCGGCGAGGGCGGCGGCGCCAGCGCCACGGTCAGCGTCAGGTCGCACCACATGGCGCAGCGAGCCCGCCGCGCACACGCGCCCAGCTGCTTCACCGCCTCGGCCAGCTGCAGGGTGGCTGCAAGGTTTCACAATCCATATCATACTTCCATTCTTATTACGATTTCAAGGACGCTGGACTACATTCCGTTGCTCTGCTACTTGTGTACACTCGATGCCCTAAGATACCTGATCTGGGGGTCGATTCAGAACCTTACGATAACTCAGTTGTCGACCGATTTCTTTTCATTTTTATTCACAACACCCGAATCGAGCGTCAAACTGTCGTATTCGAAACCGAACCGAAATGACGTCACACCCGTACGATTACTCGAGCTTCTGGACCGGCAAAGGATACAAACGTTATTCAGAACACAGTTATCGAATGAAAGTTTCCGAACGTCCCATTGTTTACAAGTAACATGGAAATCTCTTGTTATTTTAAATAAAGTCTGGATTTTGTTCAAAATTTTCATTTATTTTAATACAAGACTAATTAAATTAACATTCCTATATTTTAGGCTTTTAAAGTCTTAAAAATGGTAACCTATCACAAATTTTTCACAAATTTGTTCAAATTTTCATTACACCGAAAACCGAATTATAAAGAAACAGTTGTTCTTTCAGGATATGTTGAATGTTTATCGCAAAGACACGATTAGGTTCGGTTAGGTTAGGTTTAAAAGAAAACCCCCCGTAATGGGTTCCCACCTTGTCGTGGCGGAGGGGCTCTAGTAGCCGTGGTCGATTTCATCCCACGATGAAGCTAAGAGGAACTCACGGGCCCGATAGACGGTAGGGTTATTGTATTTAACTGATTTTTTGTTATGTTACCATGTGACGGGACGAACAAGTCGTGCGCTTGATGGTAAGCGACACGCCTGTCTATAATAATTGCATTGCCACTGCGCCCGTCACCCTGAGGCATAAGTTGACAAATACCATGTGTCTGCAATTTCACCAGCACATAACCTTCAAAACTTAAACGCAGTAATGTGTAAAGTGGCAGTATTTCCCTTTTTCTACCGGCATGCAGTAATGTGAGGCAGTGCCTCTAAGTTTTTTTTTTATTAAATCGACACATCCGTAGAACAAAGGTCTATGTGCAAGGCTACTTATTCTCAGGACATAGTACATTTCGTTCGTTCTTCTTCGCTGTGAATGTCAAATCGACTATTGTTCAATTTTATAATTTCCGAAACGAAACAAGATATATAAATTCTCAAAACACCTTTACGTAGGCCTTAAGTTTGAATAATGAAATTATTCTGTAACGTACTTATTCTCTTTTCGCTATATAATCACATCGGACTCTGTTCTTCGGATGAGTCGAAATGTAAGTGCGCATTTGACCTCCATCTCACCTGATGGAAAGTGACGGTGAAGTCGCTCCGTGACTTGGTATTATAATACAACAAAACAAAGTTCAAGTCCTGACCGGATCAACCCATGTATGTCACAGACCGTTGTCACGGACTTGATCAAGTTCTCAAGAGGCTAGTGCCTCGGATGGAGCGTCCGGGGTGCAGGTACAGTGCCTAGTGTCTACAAGGGTGTGACAATGTGACCTCCTTACATCGTCATCCCACCTTTTTATCACAGTATCTCTGGTTACTTGTTTTCAAATTTTGAATCGTTCTTTGATTCCTTTGCCTCGCCATTCTCATAACTCTGCTCATTCGCGGTAGCGAGCAGTTCAGCTGTAAATTTTGATCCTATTACCAGTTCTCAACCTAAATCATGTGCCAATTTTAATGTTAATACCAATCTGTAATTCTGTATAACTCGGCCCTTTTGGGGTAAGTGTCTACTTTATATTCATCCATAAGCATATCCGTATGTAATTAAGTTATGGAGTGTTTTATAGTATTGTACCTGTCTTTTTATATACCTTTTATTGTTACAGCCTTTCTTTCCTTCATTTTCCTTCAAACTATGAAATAAATTTTTGTTGACCGAAGTATCCTATTTTATTGCCGTGATCCTGGTCACGGCGCGTTGGTGGTTTACAACATTTTCAAGGGTACTCACGGTCCTGCCGCTGGTACCGCTGCGGGTGGTTGGGCTGATGCGGCGCCAGTTCCCTCCTGCGTGCGGCCTGCACCGCCGCTACGGCACTGCGCCACGATAGCATGGCACTTTCCACCTCACTATGCGGCGCGCTAGAAAACATTACAAATCTAGGAGCATATAAATCAAAATTACGCATTCTAATTCTAAATTATATATAAATGCGTAAAGATTACGATTAAGGCTGCACATTATGAAACGAACTCCTGTATGAAATCCGACATTCTAAGTCGCTTCCTATTTTCGGAATTGGATTGCGTTAATATCTTCTGACACGGTCCTAGTCTGCAATGTGTGATATTTATTGGTAAGAATAAGTTTATTTAGGCATATTTAACAAATATATAACTCGCCTCTGCCAACCCTACAAATACTATACAGTATTATGTAAGATAGGGTGTAACCAACAGGGAGAACAGGCAATATATAGATAAACATAACAAATAATAAAAATTACAGGGTTCAATAAATGCGTATTATATAACACACAAAGACAAAGAAAAAATAATTTTTATTTCATAGGTAAGCAAATAACACTTGAAATCGTCACACTCATTAAACTCTATTGCTCATTCGTAAGGCAGATTCCCCCGACAAGAACGAGCAAGAAACTCTAGGGTTCACACATTATATCCAGGGTCGGCGGACTAAAGCACATAAGTAAAAAAAGTGCTTCATTTGTTAATATATAATTATATATTTTTTGTGTTGTTTATAGTGTTGGAAAATATGAAGAGAACATTGACTTACAATCATATGGACGTCGGGTCCGCACTTGTAAGGCGCTAAAATCGTATACAGAGCGCCAAACTCCGCTTTAGTCTTCATTTGTTCTACTGACAGCGCGATACTGCGATGACATTACAATTTAAATTTCGAATAGGTTGACTTGGGACATTTTTTTCGTGGTTTTTGTATTAGACCCGTCGTCCATTTATTTGTAAGTCAATGGAAGAGAATGATAAATTTGAAAAAAACGCCTCTAGAATGAAATTACAAATTTATGAAGTAACAAATGAATTTGATTTATGTGCTTTAGCCGGTAGATGTGTTAATTTAAATCATTGACTTACAATTACATGGACGTCGGGTCCGCGCTAAAAAGTGTCCGAACTTATAGGGCGTTAAAATCGTATACAGAGCGTCATTCACGCTCTAGTCTTCATTTGTTCGACTGACAGTGAAGCAAGCAAAATTAGACAGTACTGCGATGACATTACAATTTAAATTCAACGTTTTAGCTTTTTCATATTCCTTGACATGTCACTACGTTTGAATAGGTTGACTTGGGACATTTTTTTCGTGGTTTTTGTATTAGACCCGTCGTCGTCCATTTATTTGTAAGTCAATGATTTAAATGAATGATGTTGGATTTTGAATTATGTGCCTTAGTCCGCCGACCTTAGATATTTGACAAATACAATACATACAACTAAAGACTTCATGATTTATAACCACAAACAAAAAAAAACAAGGATAAGAGAAGAGGGAAAAATATTAAAGAAAACTACATTAATAACAAGAAACCAACAATGTTACGACACGTATAACATCACGCGTGCCAGTTTTCTTTTCAAGGTATATGACAGCCACGGTCTAACACTGTGAACATTTTTGCTTTGCATATCCGTGATGATGGATGTCGTTAAGCAATAGATGGCGCTGGCATCTCCTTTTCACTGGCCACATAATTTTTCAGAACCCGAAATATAT